GTGTGTGTGTGTGTGTGTGTGTGTGTGTGCATATTCGTAAGTGGATTGACAAAAATCATTGTATCTTACGTTTCATATTTTTTTGGCATTCTGTTTGAATACTTTTTCCTCCTCTTTTAAGGATTGCTCGTGGAACAGCTCCTGTTGGACAAAAGAAATTCATTTGAAAAAAATATTGTTTAACATTATAACATTAAAATAACATCTCAATGATTTGTGAAGGCGAGCAAAATGCTTGTTTCCAAATAACCCTGCCTTCGGTTAAAATAATCTTACACATACTAAGATTTTAATTGCTACTAAAAAATAACATTACTTTCCAAGCAGTTAGAATAAACCGTTAGAACAAGTACTTTCAACAGTACAGTTAGAAGTGCTTGGTTAAAATGTGTACGTAGTAATTAACAGATAACTATTAAATAATCTCATCTGTGTCTCTAATATATTATAATGGATTGAATGTAAAGTACACCAAGACTGACTGACATAAACTTATGTCAACATGACTTTATCAGTTGTTTATCGATCGAAGCCAATCCTAACTAGAATAGAGCTGGTGATAGAGGGCGTCACTTATGTGACGTTTCTTCTAACCTGTTCCCTGTTTTAATAACTAACTGACCAGATCAATCGTCTTAACACTTGTGTAAGTAAGTCAGTGGCCGATCTAGGATTTAGCAATGTGGTGAGAAAATTTGAGGTAATAGCACCTCTAGATGGCCGGAAATTCATCATCAGCACATCACCATAGTCAAAGCTGGAGTGAAAATGAAGCGCAAACAACTTTCTGATGATGTAAACTACATCATCACAATACGATTATACAGTCAAAATTAAGCGCCCACAAATTTTCCATGTTTTACATGTCATACAATATTGACACGAAACGTATTTCAATGACCTTAGTTAACCTATCATGACCATAATCACCTGACCACGTCACAACTTGTAAAGGCGTTATTTGATTATGTACTGTCAGTAAACATATATGTTTTACACGGTGGCCATCTTCAATTTGGCTGCAAACTCACCTTGATATAAAATGAAGTCACTTTTGATGAAATAGTATTTAAAGCCCCATTCCCGGCAAAATTTCAGTTTTTAAGAAAAATGAAATTTTTGTATAATGTTATAAAGATTTATAAATATAGTACGGAATTGCTAGTTTAACTGAATTTAGACATTCCTTAACATAAACAAAAATGAAAAATAAGACTGAAATTTGAATTTTTTTTTGTGTTCCACACAAAAAATAAATGAGGATGAATTTTTAATGTTTGATTTTGCGATAGCTCGTGCGAAGAAATGTAGTAGGCGCCGAAAACATAGTCTATCCAATGCTGCTAGGCTAGGCCTAGCCTTACCTCGATTTAGGTTCTGTTATCACACATAAAAACGGCAGACATGATATTTTCACTTGTGAAATATAATATTTCATAGGAATTATTTCAAATTTGTTAAAAAACTGATTCTGACTGAGATTTTGACACTTAAACAAACATATCTCAGCCTAATCGAACGACCGCATTGTGCGAGATGCGAAGTACAAAAACTAATCTCATTAGAGACGGCGCACTTTATTGACTGTATAAAGTATACATAAAAGCGAGAGTATTCCCGTGGATGCAATCTATCTTTGCTAATAACGATGAATTCGTCGAGAAAATGGTAATATTTTATGAGAAATAGTCTGTATTTCTCTTTTTTTAATTCTTTTGCGTAAAACTAAAATTCATGCCAATATTTTTCCATGATTTATAATAATTGGAGTAATGCAAAAAAAGTCAGTTTTTAGTGAAATTTTGCCGGGAATGGAAGCTGAAGTATCCTTTTGTTATAAATCACGACGACCACTAATGAACCATACGGTATTTAACATAAAATACCTTGAATGATCTTTACTGACCTATCCAATGACCATCTGACCATGTCACAGATGGTATATTTCTTGACCATATAAACATAGTTTTAACATCAGAATTCTATTTTAAAGTGTTTTTAAAAACTAAGATAATTATAGGTTTTTTGCACGGCAGCCATTTTGAAATTAAAGATGACCGCCAAAATTACCTTGAATAAAACACTGTATTTTCTAGTAAAAAGTGCATTTCGAGAGCTCCAGTATGATTCTGAAGTAAAACATGTCATGTACAATTAGGTAATTATTAAAATGCCATAAAATATATGAACTGGAATGACCCTAAATATGACCTTAAATAAAAAATCTGACCAGGTCAAAAATTGCATGATAGTATTCCTTAACTGCATAACTATATTTAGACACTAGAATTACAAATTCCAAGTTAGAAGAGGAGAAATTGTAACTTTTGAATATGTAACCTCATCAAGATCAATGCAATTTACCTTCATTTGGAAGTTGCGAACTTGATTTTAAATAAAATTGAACTTGAACTTAAAGATATACCGTGGACGTTAGATGATAAATTATGTTTTATAAGTTGACCATTTTGAAATCCAAGATGGCCACAATAATGACCTCCGATAAAGTGGTTTCTACCAAAATCGAATGCTATGACCATATAGGGAGCATTTAAAATGTGTAGTGTTTCTGTCTATAACTTCAAAATATGGCCCTAGCTGCCTGGATTATGCATACACTACTAAATATGTCGTATTTTGGCAGCCATCTTAAAATTAATGATATCCACATTAAATAAGTATACGTGCAATAATCAGAACAATTTTAGTATCTGTACATGCAGTTTATACAAAAAATATGCTGAAATATATTTTAAAAAGACAAATTAGATCAAGTTTTTCTTTTTTTTTAATGTTTGATTAAAATGGCGGTCATTTTGAAAAAAAAAAAACAAGCTCCCCGGCCCTATGTCCATTTTTGTAGACATTTTTTGTTCATACATACTTAAGAAAATGCACTCTGAAAACAGAAATTCTGTTGCAATTTTTTCAACCCTAAGATGTATTTTTCTTGTACTATAGTTGATGTTATGTGAGTATAAACACTTTTCATAAACCCAAAAAAAGGAGCACGAATGGGAGTTAAATTATTCGTAGTCAGCAGATCATGATATAGTTCAAGGCTCCTACAATCAGTATATTCATTCTAAATTTACATGCTCAAAAACATTACATCTGCTATTTACATAGTTACACACTTACCGAATTTAAAATCAAAATCGGGCGAGGTTACATTTACAATAGCATCTGCATCATTTTCAGTTATGTCTCCTTGTAGTATTGTTACAGTCACACCAGCTACCTCAATCTTTGCACACAGTTCATTTACACGTCGGAAGCCTTCATACGGTGAAGGTGCCTGATCTGTATGATGAATTTGTTTTTGTAAACCTAATAAAATATATAAGCAGCAAAATTCAATAACGCAGGTATTTTTAAGGTCCAACCTATAGTTTTTAATGTACAGTCGAGGTTGGGTCTATTCTCGGGTCATTTTGTTGACGTGAAAATGGGATGTTCCAGATCATCTATGACGTAGAGCGCTTGATATCTCAGATAGAGCTTAATAGAAATAAAACAATAGCAGATGAACTTGGTTATTTCATATCTTTAATCGCTACAAATCTGTTTCATATGACCACAAAGGGCCACACTCATCAGGCGAATTGTAAAACATGAATGACATGAATGTATATATATATGTATATATATATAAATATATATATATATATATTATATATATGTATAATTGTATGATACATACATAAAATATACATTGGCCCACATATTAATATATATTTATTATATTAATATATTTAATACTCATAAATAACTGTGTTTAATACCTTTTACACTCCGATCCGCTGATTTAAGTGTTTTTTTTAGTTTCTTCCCGCCTTTTTTCAAATCTTTGATTTCTGTCTCAAATGCCTGAAAATATAGTAAAATTTAAAAAAATAACCTTATTAATTTTCTACAATTACGTTGCACAAATTCATATGCAGTATCAGGCCAAAATTATCCACTAACATTGCAATGTGTTTAATTCTGTAGATTATTTTAATTCTAAACCATAGATTCTGTCCACACTAACATTTTATATACTATAAAGATAGTTCTGACTTCATATTGTTTTCTGAGAAAAAGTAGTAATAATTTGTTAAAACAATAAGCCGTTTTGCTGCTTAAAGGACAAACAATATAGCTCGAATAATATCTCACCACATATGCCTATTCGGTAAAAAAAAATAAGCCAAAAAAGAAAGTACTTTAAATGTATTTACTTTCAAGTACTTTATCTTGTTTGCCTTAGTAATGATTTAAATGTGAACAGAAGCAGGCTACAAGAGGTTCTCTTGATTTTATCAGGATATTTTAGAACATGGAAATGCATAAATTACTAATATTTGTCATTTTGGGGTTCCTAGTGACTATTGCAACATTTGGAAACAATGTAGAAGGTTTGTTAGAACCGGGGATACAGTGATTTTGATTCAAGGCGACTTAGGCAGCACATCTGCACGTTGACCTAACGTTTGTAGTACTGTATATTTAGTACACTGTCTAACTGGTGGACCAAGATTTTATCGAGCCAGAGAGAAGAATTTCGTGCCCCGAGAGGTCAGATTTACTGAATTGGGCCTGCAGGAGTAAATTAATTAAACCTTATAGATTGAATGCAATGGTAAATAATCATACCCGAATTGTTTTAGAATCCTTATGGAAAACAACAAACTTGATTTCCCGTAAAGAGCTATGTGGACGATTTGAACTGAAATTTATCGCCTCTTCATACATAATATTTGCTACGACATCAGCTGGATACTTTAGGTTACCAGTACCAAGAGCAGGAATGGCAATCGATTTCATATCCGATGCAGATGAGAAAAGGATCTGTAGCAATTTTCTCATATCCTGTAAACATTTCAATGCCAAAATTGTAATATTTCCAAAGTAGAATATATATGGTTATAATAAAAAAAAAAAAGAAACATTACAAATAAAAAAAGTAACAATAACGATAATAATAATAAAACTAGACCTAGTATGTCTGTTTGTAAAACAGAACATAGGGCCTTTCCTTATTCCCATAAAGATACCTGCTGTTTTATATAATTTTAAAATCGTTAAAACAGTATAAAGTAAAATGAGAAACAAAAATGAAATCTACTAAAGAAATTGTGAAGCAAAAAAAAAAAACACAACATGAAAACCATCTCGAAGTCAATGAGACTCAAACTATGAATTCAGTGGTAACAGCTAGGGTGATGTTGAGGGTTATTAGAATTACGCAGATTCCGACCCTCCTGAGATCAGTAAATTATTAATTTGTCTACGGTCCTTGCATAATGTTATAAGTTTAGAAGGGCAAAAATTGTTCATGCATTCCACGGTAATTTCGTGTTTAATTTAGCTGTAGCTAATTTGAAACGCTTTAGAAAACGCAAATTGCTTTAACATAAAAGTTTAATTACCCGTTTACTATATTTAAAATACGGTACGTAAAATGACGTCATATTTTAATATGCACATTTTACTTTACTGTGGATAAAGTTTGAAGAAGATCCAAGCACAGACAAGTGACAAAATGCCAATCAAAAAAACCCTGTGCAAAAACATCCAAAAAGTTTCATTAAGATCCGATGACCACTTTTAAAGATATCCAATGTTGGGTGTATCAATTTAAGTGGTCCCCACATTCACACCCCACTCTAAATTGTCACTAATTTTAGGAGGCACATGTTTGATATGGTCTATGCTTGCACAAAATTTGTAAAGATCCAAGTATGGAAAGTGACCAATTGCCGGGCAGAAAAACACTGTGCAAAAAAGATAGAAAAAACAAGTGGAAAGAAAAAAAAAACTATGGCTTTTCCTGCCACTGCTAAGATAAGAACAATAATAATAAACAAAAACAAAAAAAAACAAAAAAAAACAAAAACATTGAAAAATTTTCTTTGTTGCTTTTTAATAATGTAAAGAAATAATGGAATGTTTCAGTTGCATATCTTTGACTACTGCAGTTTCAATTTACTATGCAATCACCAGCTAAGAGCATAGTTATAAGGGACTGTATACAGGTAGTCTGATATTTTCAGGTGTAAGAGACTTGTTTCGATTCAGAATACGCAGGTATACTGTATTATAAATGATGAGTATTGAAATGGTATTGTTGTTTTAGAGCAAACAGATTTACCATAAGTTATATGTGTTAAAATGGCATTGATTAGCAGTTCTTGAATATTTGTTTCGGTGGCGGCAGGCTTAGATTAACTCTGATCGTTTATTCATTAATAACATTAATTATCATAGTACTAATAAACATTTTTAAAATGCAAATAATCAGATCATGATAAATGATGAAGATGATGTTATCATGATAATATTGATAATGAACATTTCAACAAACCTGTATTGATTTTTGTCCCTGATACTGGTTTGATGATGTATGGAATACTTTCTTACATTTGAGGGCGGCGGGGCCTGTTTCAACAAACCCTTCAAGAGGAATTGTTCCCCCGGAAGCAGCTTTAAATGCGTCACACTCCTGCTGAAGTTGGCTACCGGCTGCTTTAAGGAGAGCTTTTGAAACATTACCAGAATCTAAGTTTAGATCTCGTGAAGTTGTGTTAACAATAACATCAGCCTAAAATACAAGAACATTGAAGCTGTAGTTTGGTAGTTATATACTGTTTATCACAAATATGAAAAATTTGCAATTGCTTAAATCACAGCTATCTACTTCCAATATAAACTGTTAAACAAAACTGATTTGCTCTTATTTATATTATTTCAATATGTTATTAGCTGTCAAAAAAATAATAAATTCGAAAAAAACTCTTTACTATTTTATGGTTTAGTGGCTCATGCGCTGTCAATTTTTAGAATGGATTGTATAACCCATAAAGTCTTACAGTATTTCCAGTTGGGTTTGTCTGGTGGTGATTGAGCAGTACACCAGAAGACAATCCTTTACTTGTTAGCTTCGATGAGGAGCTCTGTCTGTGTACTCGCCTCATTGATTAATAGATTTTTTTTGTATGGTCGGCCGTTAGGCTAATATACTCTACTGCCTCTGCTGAATGATTAACAGATCTTTTTAGGTCCGCGTCGCCAGTTTTAAACGGACGTGCAGGAAATGTTGTACACATAAACTAGAGGGGATTTTCAACAAACGTTCATGGCCCCTTTTGAAGTTGGACCCCAGGGTGGCCCATACACCTACAAAACAAAACAGGGTTTCAGAATGGACTGTATGCTCATAAAAGAAAGTTGAACAAGTATTCCCCTCTAGTTACGGACCTCTCAGACGCTGGCTATGATGTCGAATTGATCGTTTTTGAGTTTGGTTCCCGGGGGTTCATTTCTTCTACAAATCTTCATCGTTTTAAATCTGTTCACGCCCTTTGTGGCAAGCCAGTACCATTCAAAGTGTTTCGTGATAACCTTTCAAAATTAGCAATAATATCCTCCTTTTCCATATTCCATGCAAAAGATGAACCCTCGTGGACCAATCCTCCCTTTCTTACAACTTAGTTATTCGTAATTTTCTCCTAGTCTTTCACTTCATTTGGCCGTCATGAATTGTGCAATGCTCTCGAAACTCTTGTTTTTCTTGTTGTCCTGTTTTTTTTTTGTGTGTGTTTTTACCCCATTGTCATCTTATTTTAAGGATGTAACCTAGAGAGTTTTATTCATTTATTTATTCTTCCTTTTATTCAATCCTTTTTTTTTACTGTATATTTATATTTTTATATGTTTCTAAAATTTTATTGAATAAAAATGTGATTTGAAATTAATACTGCCATTACGACTAGATGGCGCGATCGGTTAACACAGTGTTCTGAGAAACCAAAGGTCGTGAGTTCCAATCGCGTCTTGGTATTTAATTTTAATTTTATTTCCCCCCACCCCAAATTTTAAGACATTTTATTTTTAGCTCCGATGAATAATTTTTTATTATGATTATTAGCTCAAATTATTTTTATTATTATTATTAGCTCCGATGAGAAGCTCTAGAAACACTCGACTGAACCTCACTTTCTATGGGCGGCCGTTAGGGCCAATATAATCTACTGCCTCTATTATACTGTCCTCATCGGAGCTTTCAAGTTTACTAGACCTTGTTCTGAAAGATTGAACTGCGTTCTCTAAAGCTGGGCACTCACCGTGGTTCGTACGACGGTCGTACAACCGTTGTGCAACGAATTTAACTGATCCCTGTAAGCGTAAAGCCGGGCACTCACTGCGTCGTACAACAGTCGTATGACCGTTGCACGACGAATCAAACTCCGGTCCCAGTGAGCGCTAGACCATGTAACGCCGTCTACCGATTTTCAGTGTTCGTCTGAACTGATCGTCATTAAAAATGATTGGTTGCGCATGCTTCGTCGCGTTGCGTTCTTCATAGAATCGCGTCGCCCGACGACCGTCGGGCACAGTAAGTACCCGACTTCGTTTATATTTCTATTTCAGCCCATCTATTTAAACACTAGGACAGTAAATGGAATTCAAGATTCTTTATTTGTGTCCTTTTGGGAAAATAAGTTGGTACACCAAATCGCAAAACAAAGTTAAGGTTAAAGTTTAAAGGTTATTCATTTATATTGCGCAAAATACGAGAGTCTCTATGTGCATGATTAATACAAAACAGCAATATAATTATAATGAGGCCCTAAACTTACTTGATATTTTGATTAAGAATTCTACTGGACAGTGGTACGAATGAATTGAGATACCTAATTGTTCTACTGTACAGGTTTGTGATTTCAACATTTTACCCGTAGGTAGACAAGTAAAAAATGCGTTTATTGGGTGGGAAATTTCTGTTCAGATACTCTTTACTTTATCAATAATTTTAATCTCACAGATATCATCTAGTTGTCTATTTTTCCAGCCTGATTTATGATACGTTGTATTCTGTTATAATTGTTTTTTTCTTAAATTAAAAGAGAGGGTTAAAACAAAAGAGGGTTTTCAATAACAAAAGAATGAAAATGGCTCATTATACATGCATCAACATTGAATGACCACTATTTCCTTAAGAAATTGAGGCGCTTCATACCCTTCTTAACAGTTTAACTTATTATCAATCTCTAAACCTAGGTATTTGTGGTGAGTAAAGCCGTACACTCACTGCGTCGTACGACCGTCGCACGACGAATCCACATTTGCTTCCGGCGAGCTACAGACGACAAAACGCCGTCTGCTGATTGTCATTGGCAATCTGAACCTCATTAAAAAGACGATTCGTTGGGTCCGCGTCTTCACGTGCGTTCTTCGTCGCGTTACCGTCGCACGCAGTGAGTAGCCGGCTTAACAGTCTCAATCTCAACATTGTCAACAACAAGGGATACAACATTATGTTCGCCTTATCTATAGTCAATTATAAGTTCTTTTGTGTTTTGTCCATTCAGTTTTAAAGAGTTTTGTTTACACCACAACGACAGTATTCACATTTTAGACACAGGGGATTTCATGAGAACCGGGTACCGAAGATTAACAATAGGTCTCCACAGTTCAGCGCACAAAAAAGGTCAGTACCAGTTTAGCCGATTGATCTATGCTTTTCTCAATTTTGGGGAATTTGTAAACAAGACATTCCATACCTTTGATTCTTCAATTTTGCCCTTGATCAGCCGTATATCCAATCCCTCTCTTGTAGTTACAACGTCACTCTTTATTTTTAATCCTGTTTTACTGGTAGCTTGCACAGCACCAGCTTCTATGAGGTCTTTGGAGTCATCATCGGAATTATCATATTCACCATTATCACCATCATCATCATCAAGCATTACGACATATTCGTCCTTCTGAACGATTTGGAAAACCATTTCCATGCTCGCTTTTAATTCCTGGCAAACCTTTATGTCAACACTTAGAAAATACACTTTCTCGATTTTTGATCGAGGATTTTCATCAAAGTACTCCTTTGTTGCCCCGAGAATTGTCTGAGTACATGATTTAAGAGGATAACCATAGATCCCAGCACTAATAGCAGGCATTCCAATTGAGGTTAGTCCACGTTTTTCTGCTTCTTCATATACACTCATCACTGCACTCATCAGTAAACGCTTCGACTTCGCTTTTGTCTGGTCAGTGTACCTTGGACCGACAGCATGGATAATTTTTTTGCATGGGAGATTACCAGCATCTGTTACAATAACCTCTCCTGTAATAAGTTTCCTATTACCACGAGCTGTCATTATTTTATCACTTTCTTTCTGTATTTCTTTACCTCCTAAGTAGAAGAAATATGGTATGTTAGAAAATGTTACATTATAATTACATTAAATTGTCCACACTTATGATTCGCATTTGTAAGCAACGTAGTCAAAATTCCAAATAAGAAGTGCTACTGTAATTTATCCGTTTGCTATATTTGCATTTTCAGACATCGCCTCTTGGTTAATAGAAGTAAGATTCAGATTATATTATAACGTTATTTATACATTTTTCAGTCGCAACTGACAGAGTCAACTCGGGCGGATCGTTCGACCGAGTCATTTGGCTAGGCCAGGCTGACTCGACCGGATCGACAGTGAACCGACTCGGACCACGAGTCAACTTCTGGCAGGCGGACTGGAAGCAGTCCGGACGGCGTGCAACCCAATTGATGGGCTTGCTAACTGAAACCTTTGATGCTAGGCCTCGTTTGGCGAATGGATTGGAGATGTAAGGTGCAGAGTTTACAGTGTTTTAAATATTTGGTCGTATATTGTACAATCTGCTGTCTCAATTTTATACAAAAAAAATAATTGTGAATAGTAATAAAATATGAAAAAAGTATTCTACAAATGCGCAAATAATAAAATGCTGAAATAGGGTGTACATTTGAGAGTCATTTAAAAGTGCTAACGTCTAAAATTTAAGTACAGTACCTCAAAATTTCCAGAATAGCTTGTCATTGTCCAATAAAGAAATGATAAAATGTTGGTGACAATCGTTTGTGGATATGAGGACCATTCAAAGAGAAATGTTTCGGGCCAGATATACCAAAACCTGATCTACTGATCTGGATGAAACTTTCAAGAAAGTTTAATCAAGTTACATGAAAGAAATTATAAAATGTTGGTGACGACCAAATTTAAGTGTAATTTAAGGTGTGAATTTAAGTGTCATTAAACTGCTAACGTCCTCAAACCTAAATATCTCAAAAACTTACCAATGGATCTAAATAAAATTTTATAGTATCGTAATTAGAGGAACTATTTTAGTAATTTGGTTCAATATCCTATTGAAGAACATAAATCGGTTATTTTAATTTATTCTATTATATTTTTTTAAATTTATTTTGCAACAAGTAGGGCTAACTCGCCAATTGGGTAATTCCATAAATTCGGACGTAGATTTCAGACACTTTGCGAATCTATATTTTCATAATGAAGCTTTAAAGGTATTTGTTTGTGTGCATTACATTAACTACTTAGTACTATCAGGCCACTAATTTTTACTTCTAACTCGCGTGACGGACGTAATCAGAGAAAGTGGCTTTTCCTTCGTCACTATACTGTTTTAAAAATCTCAGAGATGTGTGAGACATGTTGGATAATAAGTTGATTGTAAAAAAGTAAGTCTGAAGAAAACAGATTATAAAGATTTGAATACAAATTTGTAACCAGTAAAAATATTTATTATTACTATTAGAGGTTTTACTTTGTTTAAATGCAGACGGTTAAATATAAACTAGAATGACTAATTGATATTGTATACTGTACTAGATTCAGTTTTATAAGCCACGTTCCAGCTTCTGGTCTCACCTTCTTGGTAGTAATACTATTACAGTTGTATAGATAATTCTGCGATGGACAATTACATATTGTAAAGTTTCTGGAAGTGAACATTATTATTGTAAAATACGGTGTATTATATGTAGAGTATTGCAATACAAAAGATCAAGATAAATCATCAGTCATTGTAGTACTCAAGTTGACTGAACATTTATTCAAGCTAAATAGGGCCTAAGGTGTCTTATTTGTCATATTGTGATTTACACAGTTACAAAATGTCCTGTAATTTGAATATTAAAAATAATAATAATAATAAGAATGTTCTGTAATATTTGTGTTACAGGATATTATTACGTAATTGTGTAAGTCTGCCTTTTAATGAAAATTTTGCTTCAAATTTAGTTTAAAATCATTTATGATTATTTTCAGTAGTCTGTTATGACAATGTGTGCCTATTACACACTGCTTTGTAAGTGCTGAAAACAGAATGCGCTTCAGGGCGAACAAAAGTAGGCTTAAAATTGATGTTTCGACCAAGTAATCGGCCCATACCCAGAATTGTTCATGTTCTATTATTTGTTGTGCATAACAAGTATTTTAACCACAGCACATCATGACACATTTGTCAGTTGTCATATTTTCATCATAATTCATACTGTAGGTTATAACACACTATATACCGTGACGGACGTACAGAAAAAAAGTACGTCTGTCACATGGTTTTACTAACAGAGTGTGTAAATTGTGTGTACCTGGCTAGAAGAGGAGACAAACAATGTCATTTTTCTGGAAGGACGTACATCCATATTATCATATTTTTAATATTTTATTCAAAATTAGCATTAATTAGGAAAATTCAAAAACATTTCACCAAATAACAAAATACGTACCAATATTTTATTTTAATGAAAAGTGAATTAAATTCTGATATTTTACCAGAGGAAAACTTTACAATTAATGTTATGACTATATTTTCCTTTATAATTCTAAATATTAATTAATTTTATTAAATTACATTTTTTTCTCAAATGGTTAGTGAATTCTTTATATATTTTTATTTCACGATGGTATAACTTCCCAGAAAACGTTCTGACTAGGAATGTCACTAAATAACGTTCACACAACGTTGTAAGAACAACAAAGCACACATACAAATTTGATGTATTTTAATTTTTTACCATTCAGTTTTAACTACTTCACGAAATTACCGAATTGCTGGATGGACGATTTAAAAAAAATAATATGGATGTGGAGTTGCTTTTAATTGTGAAAAAAAGACCTGCTACCACAAGAATTTTAACAACGATCCTGAGAAAAGAAAGCAAGCCCTTAAGATTTGAAACTCCACTAAACTAAACTAATCGTCTATTATGTAAATAAAATTAGCATTTGACATCGATATTTGAACAATAAAAATTTGCTTTCATTTAAAAACACAAGCACTGAGCTTGTTTGTTCTTTTTTTTGTGTGTTTTGTTATTTTATTCCACTCGCATTCAACAGCAAAAAACTCGTCAATTACAGGATGGTCGATGCTTATAAACCTAGTCTTTTTATAAGGCTTAGGGAGTGGATTTTTTTTAGTGGTAAGAAAAATCAGAGGAATTGACAGTAAGGTGATGTAATGTAACGGCTGACCAACATGCAAAATAATTGTGGGTAGCTGTATATCAGAAACTGCTACATAAAGGCTAGTAAAGCATGTTAACAATCCTAGAATAACTAACAAGAGAAGCTAAAATAAAAGCATTTTAATAAAATTAGTATATAAACATAAACATGTAATAATGAAAAAAATTATCATCTTGCATGCCAACTTTATTATTGTGATTAAAAAATCGTATTATATTTGTAGATTGATTTGTAAATATTTAGATAAACTATGTTATTATATAAAATAATGTATGTCTACTCAAATTATATCAAAAAGCATCATATTTACCTGCATCAACAATAGCTTTAGCTAAACCCCCGACGTGCTGAAGTCTGTCATTTGCAGCATTGACAATGACATCCACATTCATTTTAGTCATATCTTCTTTACATACTATTAACTCAATACCACTTTTTAATCTGTGTCGTAATAATATTTGCTTTTCTTTAGTGGTGTTGCAATAACCACCATCAAACTCGATAATGCATTTGCAGTCGTTTTCCACAGATTCTAGAGATTTTCTGCCTTTATCGTCTTTGAAGAAAGTAGCCATTCCAGGTTGTGATATCAGATGTTTACCTATCACCACATCGCTTTCTAGGCCAACTATTTTCTCCGTAGCAGCATCGATACCACTCCGATTACCTCTAATGACAATGCAGTTGTTCTTTTCGCTAGGCTTTAATTGTACAAAGTACTTCTTCAATGTTGATTCAATAGCATCTAGCGCTTTTGAATGGTGTTTTTCAAGCAACCGAACCATCCCTCTTTCTAAGACTTTCCGTTTCTCCATAATTTGGTTGGTACTTAGAAATTCGTCAACATTTTTGATGACTTTTCTGACAGCCATGTCAAATCCAGTGATCATAATGCAAGATGCAGCTTCTTTATGAGCAACTACCTGAACTGTTACGATATTTGGGGAATTTGAATCAACTAGCAGTTGTTTTCCTTCAACCGAGTTCATTACTTTCAGTTTATCACTTGGAAGAAGATACTCATGATGTTTGATCATTCCCACAATGCTGGATTTTGCAGTCATGGCATCATCATTGGAAGTGGAATATATTTTTACTCGGTTTCCATCAATTTCGTATGTGATATAAAGATTATTATCCGCATGTACACTTATGATCTTATCGTAACAGTCCGTCAGAAATTGGCAAATTTCAGCACTAAGAGGAAATGAAATTTCTGCAAAGTTCTCGAGTTCTTTGTAAAGACCAAGGATGGCACTGTTTACGTCTTCACGAAGTCCTTCAAATGATACCATATTGCTGTGTTCATCAACTGTCATTGTAACGCCATAGTTACTCAATGCAACCTCCTCAAACCTAAGCAAATGAATTTGCTTAATTTTTATTGGTTTGTATTGTTTTCTTTCCGTTATTGTTTTCTTTTTTCTCTCGATTTCATCTTTCATTTTCTTAAGTTCTTGTGAGAGCCTGTCCCAAACCGACTTGACAGCATCTTTAAACCCTAAAATCATCAGAGACGGCGACGAATCATTTGGTAGTAGTTTTACATCTTTAGTATTCTTCTCATTCTCATTCAAGTATTTCTGAAAATCTTCAAAGCATTCATCTCCAATGTCCAAGGTTTTTATGTGAAATTGTTCACTAAAGAATCGTTTGAAATTACTTGCTGCATAATCTTCCCAAACAGAGATGCTATTTAGGTCCAAGCCTTCAGAAGCATGCAATTTCAAAATGTAGGGATCATCAGGGTTATGTTCTATTTCTATTCCAGCATTAGACATATTGTCATTGAAATTCGGTGTCGTAAGAGCAAATGTAGAAAGGTAAGGATCGACAGGAATAGAGACTGGATCTGGTTTCCATTGACAACCATCTGATACAAATTCACCAATTTCATCATAGTATAGGCACACTTCCAGATCTTTCTTCTGAAGTTGATGCTGCTTCTGTTTTAAGACTGATTTCACCACTATATCATGAAAAAAGAGGTTCACAGTTTAGCAAAAACATTCAATAAGTTTGCATCTTATTAATATGAATGTTATTTCCTAATTTGTTTGTAGGTAGGCATATGTAATAAATTCTGCCAAATTAACAACATACCTGCGTAGTTTTCAAACTGTATAGTTACTTCCGACCGTTTATCGTCTAATTGCATATCATATATTTTGCCTCCACCACTTCTGCCATGATTTTCAAAATATAGCCTGAACATTTCCTCTGTGTAATTCATGTCAAAGTTTTTCACAATGATTGTGTCAACTTCAAACACTTTCTTTGCGTTGATTTTCGTATACTGAAGTTGTTGTTCCTCAATTCTGGCGATCACATCATCAATATCTTTTAATATAAAATAAACAAAATCAATAAACATACGGTACCAAATGCAGTTTACAAAATACATTAATAACAGAATTAATAACATGCGTTAAGAGGAATGTAATTTTACCTTCTATTGGGTCTTTGTACTCCACCATGGCCTTGGAGGGATCCTTTCCAAATTTTATATTAGGTTTGTACTTTCTTGTCACTTTTTCAAGGTAAAGGTTAAATATTTCTGGGTTTAATTTTTTTGGAAGATCACTTATCAACAGAAAACGATTAACGAGCGGTCTCCTGGCACGCTTCTTTCCCAGTTTAACATTCAATATCGATCCGCTTAGCTCATGTTGTTTCCGCTTAGCAACATCCTGAGCGACTGAAATACCAAAAAAGTAAAACTTTACGTGATCAAATTGATAGATATAATAACTGATTTAATACTATATTTGAATTGTCGTTCAGATCGATTGGTGCAGTTAGGGGTTCCAATGCACACTAATTACAATTTGTTTGTGTCCTTGGAAATGTGCTTTACTGTGTTTTTCTCTGTCGACAAGCAGTATTATAATTTATATAGGTACAGTAATAGTGACTAGTAGAATTCAATCAATCAGTTATTTCACTTGATTTGTCTTGTACAAAATATCAAATTGAGACACCTATCGTAAGCCGCAGCTTGTAAATTATAGGTACGCATGTGAACCTAACTACACTTGTGAAAGAAAAAGAAAATAAAATTACAATAATGAGTATTGACAGAGGACGACTTTGATACAGTAAGGAAAACGTACTATTATTCTGCATGAGTGTTCGTGTCATCTGAATGTGATTAAATCATGGAGGTATATGCTTAAACTAACTTTTTTTATATAAGGAATTAAGAGATTTACTAAAATAACATATAGGGAGTTTTACCAAATTCAGAGTTAAACTTTTGGACCTTATTGAGTTTGTTGTTCCTTATATTAAGTAGGGTTGCAGGGTTGCAATGGGAAAAAATAAATTTGAGTCATCGGCAAACAGAAAAAAACGGAAGTAGCCACAGAGTTACAAAAATTATTAATAAAGAGAATAACAAGAAACATTACCTACAATAATGTGCCGCAACATCTTTAAATTATGACTGGGTTGTATTTCCATACTTAATAAATTAACGTATTCTTGAGAATGACCTATATAATTTTCAATGCATTTCTTTATGATATGACACATATACATAAAAATAATAGCCTACAGGTAGAATTGGTTTACGACTGGTGTAACAATAGCCACGAAGTTATTTACATTGCGGTCGCAGGATTAAAATAATTATTAAAAAAAACCTACTCAGTACTCTATATTAGACACTAGAAATTGTGATATATAATTTGATATAGGCCTAGCCCTCCCATATAGACTTTTTTTAGCTTGTGTTCTTACCATAATTTTTGTTATTATTATTATTATTATTATTATTATTATTATTATTATTATTATTAATGATATTATTATTTTTTAACATTTTATATTATCTATTTGTATTCCATTTTAAAATATACATTTTATTATTCTTATTATTCTGCTTGCTGGGTTGGACGAGTTATGAATACATTCCATCATAGCCGATTTTATGCTTCAGCTTTAAACTGGCTTCAGCTTTAAACGAACTTGGCAGGTTATGTTTTTGCCCCTGGTTATTTATTTATTTGTCTGTCGGCATATTTGTTGTGAACAGCCTACAGCCCATAGTTTTTATCAGAAATTCATCAAACTTGGCCGCAATGTTCCTTTACCTAAGATCTAGAGCTGATTAAATTTTGAAGGGTCAGGGTCAAGGTCACAATCAAAGAATATTATTTTTTAATTTACTAGTATATTTGTCTACAGCTCAGTTTTAATCACAAACTTGTCAAACTTGGTCACAATGTTCCATGACCAAAGATTTCAAAGTATTTGAATGTTGAAGGGTAAGGGTTAAAGGTCAAGGTTACAATCAACAATCTGCCGTATTGATGTGTGTGTGGGCTTGCGGGTAAAGTTTAAACAAACATATGACCTTTAATTTCAAAGTGATATTCAATTCAATTCAATTCAACATAACATTTATGTCTTTTTTTTTTATGTGAAAACAGTTTGGTGTAGTAGTTAGAAGAGTGTTTTCCACACTCCCAGCCCCGGGTTCAAATCCAAAGGAGTCTACATGTTGGGGGTTTTTTTTCATTATTTTTTTTATAGGGACAATATATGAGGGAAATTTATACTGAGTAGAATTATGATGTTGGCGAAGATATGCACTATCCGAGTGCCCTCTAGTTTATCGGATTGTCAATGTATACGTACGTATGGCGATAGAGCCAAATAAATTGGTGTTTGCGATAATTTATTTACAATTCTCCCTGCCGATTATATTACGACGCACTGTAGGCCTGACCGGAATTTTTATTATTTTCAAATTTCATAGCCATACATGATCGCAGCTTTAGTTGTGCATGTTTAATTGTTGAATAAAAAAGTTTTCCCATTTCTATTTCATACCCTCTTCGCAGAAGGTGTTTGGTTCCTGAGACGTCTTTTTGGTAACTGCGCATTCTCGACATGGCTCGACAACGTCACTTACTCAGTGCACATGCTCACTGGTTGTCTAGCATTTCCAAGCGCATGCTCACTGTGTTTTTATACATATTTCACGTTCTTTGGTAACTACGATTGCGCATTGATTAGTTCGGAATTCCCATTCCTTCATAGTAAAAGCTACCTACAGTTTTTTAATGACCCTTTCCTCTTGATCGTAGCAGCCTAAAGGTGCGGCGCAAAAAGTAAAAATCCAATTATGGATCCTGGAGTCCAGACGGCTCATTACCCAATGAAACAAATTGTTTTCTGATGTTGAGTAACTTCTGAACCACTCCAATTTTAATTTATTATGCTCAATATTTATACCTAGCTAGGAATATTCTCAGGAACCGAGAACAATGCCCACTTAATATAACAATTCGACACAGAATTGCTCATGACTGGTCTGACGTTTTCAAAGCATCTAATACAGTGGAAAAGGCTAACTTATTTTATAGAATTCTCAATGAACGTATGAACCTGTACTTCCCTAAAATTAAGATTAAGCAACACATTACAGATAAACCATGGATATCTGCCAAAACTAAAGATTTAATTCGCCGACAACAACAAGTTTTTCAGCCGTCAAAACCACCTTTATGGAAGTTTTATCGAAACAAAGTTCAGCGTTCAATAAGGAATGACAAGTACGAGTATTACAAAAATAGAGTTGAGAGACACAAGAAATCTAATCCCGCCGAATGGTACCGCCAAATTAGAGTGATGACGACGGCTAAGGAACCTCTTACTTGTATAATTCCCCCACCCGATGTTGACCAAACCAACTTTAAGGATGTGGCGAACACTATTAATAATCACTTTATCTCAGTTGGCAAAGACATCGCCCCTTTGAACATTTCCAATTTACCTACATTTTTGCCAGCCGCCAAAGTGTTGCCAGAGGTTTTCCCTTGGGAAGTTTACTCTAAATTATCAAAAATCGGTCGAAAAAAGGCAAGTGGTCCAGACGGTTTGCCGGCAAGGGTCATACGTGAGTTTTCTTATGAATTGAGCAAACCTTTAACGGATATTTTGAACACGTCATTTAAAGAAGGAATTGTTCCACCCCAGTGGAAACGTGCAATCGTTGTCCCTCTGCCAAAATCTAATCCCCCTTCTGGAATCAATTGCGGTCAGTATCTCTTACCGACCACTTTTCTAAAGTGCCCGAAGCCTTTATTAATGACTGGTTAATTAAAGATAATATAAACCCATAAATCGACAACAGCCAATTTGGAACAGAAAAGGTAGATCTTCCTGCCATTATTTGATTAAGCTAGTAAACAACGTTATCAAACATGCCGATTTGCAGAAAAGCCTTTCACGACTAATTGTTACGGACTTTTGTAAAGCTTTCGACCGAGTAGACCACAATATCGCTATTCCTTAAGTTATTAGATATGGGTGCTAAACCTGCATTAATTCCATGGATGTGTAGTTTTTTATCCAACCGTCTACAGTGTGTTAGATATCGAAACACTCTGTCGAATTGGAAAAACATTTTTGGGGGTGTCCCACAAGGAACCCTTAGTGGCCCAGTAATTGTTTTGTGTCTAGTTAATGATGCAGCTAGAATTGATTCTGGTAATAAAATTAAAATATGTTGATGACCTTATGATAGTTGAAAATACATTCAATAATCAATGTAGTAGCATGCAGATTGAGTTGGACGATTTTTGCAAATGGGCTGAGGTCAACCACATGACCCTCAACCCAACCAAATGCATGCATATGGATATTACCTTTGTGAAAACCCCATCTCCGTCTCTACCACTGAAAAAATGTGGACGAGAGCTTCTACGTGTAAACATGCTCAAAATACATGGTGTAAAAATTACCAGTGATCTAAAATGGGACGCCCACATTGGTGATATTCTTGAGCGTGCAAGTGGTCGTTTATTTCTAATTAGTACTTTAAGATGGTTTGGTTTATCTGTTCAAGAATTAATTACTATTTATACTGGATTTGTTCGACCCTTGCTCGAATATGCAGTGCCGGTATGGCATCCAGGCCTTACACAAATGCAGCATCTTGCTCTAGAACGCATCCAGAAAAGAGCCTGTAGGATAATATTAGGGATTAAATACTCATCCTATAATTCAGCTGTTGTTGAGTGTATTATCGAGGAGCTAAATAAGAGACGGGACAATATTTGTTACAGTTTTACTATTTCCCTAATGAAGTCTAATGAATTCCGTGACTGGTTACCAAAATTAAGATCTGAAGAAAGTGGTTTCTCCCTCAGAAATGCCGACTCACTTTCCATGCCTAAAGTCCGTACTAAACGTCATAGTCATAGTCCAATTCCATTCATGGTTAAATTGTTTAATGACAAAAATAAGTAGCTTTAATTTGTTGTAAAATGAAATTTTTTGGTAATGCATTTTTTTTATATGTGCTGGTTTTATTTTTTTTTTTTTTTTTTTTTTTTTTTTTTTTTTTTTTTTTGGTGTTTTCTGTAAATATTGTATTAATTCAGCTTTTGCTTTGACCGCAATATGTTTTGAATAAACCTTGAATAAAGAATAAATAAATAAACAGAAAGTGCTACATAAATACTCATTCGCTCACATTTATGCAGAATAAGAAAGAATTTTGATATTTAAATTAGAACTGTAAGTTCAAAATACCTCCAGATCCTTCAAATTGTATGGTCCAGTTACCAATAATTTTTTGGTTCTTCTGCATTGAAACAATTGGTCCTCCACCAGACTTTTTATTATCTTCAAAGTAGAACCTCAAAAATTCTTCGGATATCGATGGATTCACATTTTCCACCTCCAATGCAATTATTTCTTCTTCCTCTTGTTTGTTACCTCTATCAGCTATATTGCGTTTACCTGGAAAAAATCGCTTTGGCTGCGGTCTTGAAACCTTGATATCTTTGCCGTTCAGTTGATGAGTTTTTTTAAGAACTCGGTCAGCAACTAATGGAAGCCAAGCAAATACAAATATATTATTCTTCGCAAACCTGTTTTCTATTAAATAATTACCATTATCATACATAGCCGATTTATTACTCCGACATGGTCAGTAATGAACACATCTACAAAGAAACAGTGAAGTACACAATTATTAAGACGACTATTGTTTACACATCAAATAATATACAGTATAATAAAAAATAGAAACATCAGTCAACTGAAATTTAAGAAACAAAAATATAGGTGCATGATGTGTGACAATCAAAATAAAGGTACAACTTAACATGCAAAGCAGTTATAGATAAGGAGTGTAAATTATGTATTTTATTATGAAATTATGAAATACATTTTTATTTTTTTTTTTAAAACCCCATCCTTTTCAAAAGAAAGTCTAATAGAAACATAATCGTAGAGACCGTTTTAGAGTTCAGTTTACATTAAAAGTTACAATATATTAAAACAAATGTCATGTTATCCAATCCAAAAGGTCCATGAATTTATTTTAAGATGGTTAACTGTTTTATATTGTAGGATGGGCAAGGGTCTTTCTTCCTACGGGCCATGTAACCAAGATTTGAGGCATGTCGTGGCAAAACGGTTAAGTTGTCACACAGGCCAGTATTGAGTAAATGAGCTATAAAATATGGGAGCTCAAAAAATTGCCTAAAAATCCAAATTTGTTTTTCACTATAGATCAACAGTTTAATGTCTTATTAATCATATACCAAAGTATTAGTTCTGGAAGTGGTCAACAAGTTGTTTATTTAACGTTATTTTGATAGTCCATTCCATGCCTCTTTCAATTTAAATTATATTTACTAAAATAGTGTATATACATATAATACCTTAGATATTTGTTAAAAATTATATATTTTTTTTTATTGTTATATTGTGAAAGAAATAAATGTTGATTTGATTTGATTTGATTATTAAACAATGTAGGCACAAATAATTTTGAAAGGCAACTTAAAATCATGTTTATCTTGATTCTAAGAGTACTGTACGTTCACTTTCCAACAACTTAGGCTTAAAATGTCCAATTTTAATGAATGACCCCTCATTTTAAAGATCACATACTCAGGTATCTGAAAATACCAATAACTTGAATTTCAATTTTTGCTACAACTTAGCCATTTTGCCACAAAATACAAGTGGCGAGGCCAGTATGCACAAATTTTGTGCATTTACTGGCCTCGCCACTTGTATTTCTCCGATTTTTCTTGATATTCATAGTCAGGGACGTAGCCAGGATTTTGAAAGGGGGAAGTACGTAGTACCGAGAAGGTGTAGGGATGTCGACTCCCTACAACTGGGGGGTCATTAAGGACCCCGGTGGGGTCTAGGGGCAAACCCCGGGAGGTAGCGCACTATGTAAGTTTTAGGACTTTTTTGAGAAGATAAAGTGAAAATTTTCAGTAGATGCATCACAAATAATATTAACAAATATTTATTAACAAATAAAGAATGAAAGAAAAGAAAAAGAAAGTAAGCCTGGAAAATAATTATAATGATAACTCAACAGCGGCAGATTCAGGTATTCGAATGAGAGGTAACCCACAGAGGGACTTTCACAGACTCACCTCAGCCCCACCATGGTTGGGGCTGAGGTAAGAAAAAGTTATGATAAGCGCACCTCTAGATGGCCAGAAATTACACTTGAATATAATTTTCTTTTTCCCCTTAACAAAATTTAGGGGGCCTGGAATCCGCCACTCCTCAAAACATTCTTTATCCAAAATAGTCATAATCACAAAAAATGGGCATGAGAACAAATTCATGCACCCTCCACTCAGCAGTCACTTAGACATATTTTGAGTCAGGTACCGACTCAATGGAGTAATGTCATACCCAGGGAAGGGCGCATATCTGTTTTGCAAGGTGGAGGGGCAGGGGGCATTGGGTGAGTTTCGAAAATTTCAAAAAATAGTACTGTACTATGTAACATCTACATGGCCATAAATTATACTTTTAGCAAATTTCATCACATCACCATTATATATAGTCAAAATGAAGCGCCAACATATTTTTCGATCTTTTATCAGGCATTTTTAGACAGGAAACAGAAGCGGTACAGTAAAATTAATTCTGTTGAACTATAATTTTTGAATAAAAGTACTTATATATATAGTGATTTATTAATATGTGTTATGTACATAGAAAATAAACCTTAAAAGCATTGTCTTCGATGTATGAATTTCAAAGCCGTGATTTCACAACGACCTCAGCACCGCCATGGAAATTTGAGGAAATAGTACCTCTAGATCATTATATAGTAAAAATGAAGCGCCAACAATTTGCTCATGATCTTTTATCAGGGATTTTAGACAACCATCCTATTAATACCCAGGACAACTTAGGCCTTAAAATCAGGCTCCAGAGGAAAAAAACCTTTTTGATATGTTGTAGAACTGATTTTTCTAAGACAGAAAAAAGTAGTTTGATCAAAAACTGAGCAACGGTGAATGAAATACAGATTTTTGAATATTTAAAAACTGGGGGGGGGGGAAAGGTGTCAAAATGGGCAGTTACGCCCCTTCCCCCACCCCAGTTTTTAAATATTTAAAAATCTGTATATCGTTCACCGTTCCCCAGTTTTTCGTCAAACAACTTTTTTCTGTATTAGATAAATCAGTTCTAAAACATATCAACATTTTTTTTCCTCCAGAGTCTGACTTTAAGCTTTAGATACTATAATAATTAAGATTAACAAATCACAACTTTCTTTCTCGCCTTTATTACATTTTTTAATATTATAAAAATTGTTTTCAATTATCATTGTCACCATCGTCACCATACTGCTAGTAGTATTATTAAACAAAACTTTATATAAGCTTGCAAAAGGATAAAAACCAAACTGAACCAATATCACATTTCTGTATCTTAAAATACATAGCCTGGGATTTATGAATTTAAAACGAATTATTAAGCTGATTTTTTTTTTGTTAAGTAAGTTTGATAAATCCAATCCCTGAGCAGTTAGCCGTTATAAACCCGAAAATGTAAATTTTTGCATTATTGTGTACAATGAAAAATTAATTGATCTAACGAATATGCCACTGGTTACTATCAGGTTGGCGGGTGACTTTTATTGAATTTTTATGGTGGGTTTCTATCAGAGCACGGGTAACACACCCAATTACACATTGTACAGCATTTATATCAACACCAAAATCCGTGATTTTTTTTTTATTTGTTATTGAATAAACGTGACACGCCATCTTTGGAGTTGATTATAACTATCACATAGCATGGAACAGCAATGTGGAATAATGTCCACATGGGTCCACGCTGACAACACACCGTGTCGAAGTAGTCAACATAATCTTACTATGCTTTTACTCACAATGCACTACATACCCTAAAAGCAACTCAAACCTTTCATTAAATACTTACTTTCTTGATTGTCAAACTTCGCAGTCCATACATTTTTGTTTTTATGATACACAACCTTGACTTCTCTGCCATCACCTCCAGATTTTTTATTTTCAAAATACATTTGTAATAACTCTGTAGAAGTATCTCCACGTACTTCCACTACTGATTTGTCCACGTGCTGTTTGTATTGCCATGTCTTTTGTGGACGCTGAACTTTCAAGGAAGTTTTATCCAATACATGATCACGATGCAAAAGTCTATCCACAACTGAGAGATAAAAATATTATTAACATAATTTACATACAGTACTCTTCCTGTTGTACAGTACATGCCATTTCTAAAATAGCCATAATGATATTTAGTACATCATTAAAGAATCCTCTGATAATGTTATTTCTTTAAATTTCTTGTTTATTTAAAGCAGTACTGTATGCTCCAGCTGAAACCCAAATTGGAGCAGCCATAGATTTGCACCAGCAGAAATATATGAATCCAACACACTTTTTTGCCCGACCCCCTTCAAATCGCCCAATAATTTGCATGTTGGGGTTCTGCATGAGATAACCCCACAGTGAAATTTTTGACTCCGTGCCAGCATTTTCTGATGAGTTAGAGCAATTTGAAATTTTCATGAGATTTGGCTAAAAAACTCACCTTCTGACAGACAACTGCTGATATCTCTCTTGAAACTCAACGTATTGAAGAAATTCTGGTACCGTTAGATAGAAAAGAAGATTCTCTTTCCAATGATATGCAAATCGATGATGTCCGGACTAGTGAGAATTTGACCCAAAATATCACAAAAGTATATACCTCGATTTTTGGAAAATTCACACCTAAGTTAGGACACTTAGCCCACATGATGCCCCTAAAGTTTTATTGTGGGCAAATGAAATATATTAGCTCTAGACTACATTTTGTGCCTAGGTATTGATAGTTTTATTGAGTTTCCAGGAAATCTGCTGATAGATTCTATAAATATTGGCACCATAGTATAGTGAAAATCAGGGGCCCCGTGACCATTTTTCTTGGACCAAGGTTTCACTGCTGATTTAGCGTCACTAGGGTATAAATAAGAAATTGAGCGAGGGAGAATCTCCAGAAAAAGGGCGGAACATATTTTTTTGGCAGCCATTTTCAAAATGGCAACCAAAATTATGATATTGACACTCAGTATTCATTCTAATGCCATACTCGTGTTTTCGATCGCCATTTTTTCTCATACGTACTGTCTATTGGGCGCACTGATTTTACCATACCCAGAGATTGCCATCAGAGGCAACTGAACTATTATACTGCTCCAACAGTTTATATAAACTTTGAACACAAGAGAGAACATTAAATGTTTATTTTGCGGTGGTCCATAAGTGTCACGGCAACAACTTTCAAAATATCCTGGCACACTTTCAAAATATACGGGGACAACTTTCAAAATCACACGACACACTTTTAAAATTCACGACACACTTTCAAAATTCACCGAACACTTTTAAAAACCACTAGGACTAACAACACAGTTAATTACGTTTACAACACAGCACCTTCCACTAGCGAAACATGCAGCATAGCGCCCAGGCTTCCCACATTTATTGTTATAATGTAATTATATTTATTTAGGCTGTCATAATATAATAACGTGGACCGCTTAGATGCCTTGGCTCTAAGCACATCAAATCGACATTATAATATCAGTATCATTTATTATTATTGCATTTTAATACAGTGATTCCTGTATTTCGACTCAGAGGTTAAGGTAAACCTAAATTATTATTCGGCATTACTATCAACTATGATGAAGATACCAGAGAGGTGTAAAACTGAAGTCACTATGTGCAAGTTTTTTTTACATTAGATAGAAAAACAATTTTGTGAATATTTTATATTCAGCAATGATTTTGTATAATTATATTCACGACATAGGATACTAAAATTAAATCCAGGTAGCTGTTGTACATATTGAGGTATTATATTGTCCTTTATTTATCTTATCTTTGTTTCACCTATTCAGTAAATGTTTTGTTTAGAGGATCAGACCAAACGTCTTTGTGGTTATTTTTTGAATCTTTATTTTTTTTTTCCTATAACGAAAAAATACTTGCCCTAAGACGATGGTTGGATTGGTCTAGGTTTCAAGATTTACAAAATTCTAAATCTTCACTTGCTCTGAACAGCTGCTGCTGCAGCTGACAGACGATAACTTTAATGGAGTCTTTGAGCGTTTTCACGGCGGAAGTTTTGATTTTGAAAATTCAGAAGTTCTTGCCATGAAATTTGAAAGTTGACATTATGATGTCTCAAAAGTTTCAAAAGTTGCTGCATTGAATTCTAAAAATATTCCGTGAGTTATAAAAGTGTGCCGTGTTGTTTCAAAAATTGTTGCTGTGAATTTCGAAAGTGTGCTGTGTTATTTCGAAAGTTGTTGCCGTGACACTTGTGGGCCACCGTACTATTTACTATAGGACTACCTTTTTCATCTGCGAAAGTAACAGTGAATTTACTTCTGTCTTCATGCATTCTAGATTCCATTATTTCTCCTCCACCTGATCTCTTGCTCTCAAAATACATCCCCAGCATGTCGTCTCCAATCGAGGGTGCAAATCCACTAACTTCGATGGTATTAGGCGCAGAAACAAGTTCCTCAACCAATGAGACATCTAGTGTTTGACCGTTAATTGTATGTTGACGTGTACAGACATGTTCTGCAACTAATTATCGTAAGTTTAGCTTCAATACACCAGTAAGAAATGAGCACAGAAGTCACTGCTGTAACGAAAGTCTACTTGTTTGCAACTATTGTTGTTTATGTTTAATTTCATTTCACTTGATTTATCGCCAAATCAATCTTGAGGATATTTCCCGCACGATTTCGCCAATTAAAAAAAAACATACATAAGGACACAACAACCCTTGTCGGTGGCAGGATAAACAAAAAGCAAACTTAATTGCTGTAGACAGTTTTTTCCTCAGACAAGGGTATAACAGTAACATTTAAAACATTGAATAGAAAAGTATAGTATATATATATTAAAATAAATATAAAAACATAGAAAAAAAAACAACAGAAACAAAATCGAAATCATATCAAAAAGAAAAGCAATTGCAACAAACCACCCTCTGATCTCACTTACGACTGCACATGGATTTTAATTTAGGTATGTATGTTGTATGATGTATGTATATATGTATGATGTGGTATGTTCATCTCGGAGGTCAGCAGGAAGCGAGTCTCATACACTCGGAAACTGGTTGAAATTGTCATATCGTATTTAAGACAATCAGTACGGTTATATTGATGAATAACTTTAAGGTGGTCATAGTAACGGAGGTTAATAATATTAGAAAAAAGGAAGAGGAATGGCAGTGTACTAATTGCATTTAAAGTTTAAGCATTTAGCAGCAAAAAGAAACAATATTAAAAAGAAGTCTATTTCTTAATAAACAAAATTTAAGAAATTTAAGTGTCCGAGGGTATGTGATATCACGATCCATACAACATGTTGTCATCCTACGTTGGACAGACTCTAATGATTGAACATCGCCAATCTCATATTATGTAAGCCAGGCAGGTACGCCATACTCAAGGATTAAGCGCACAGAGCATTGTATAACTTAACAATAATAATCGGGGTTACGAAAACAGACAAATCTAAGATGAAACCCAAAAGTCGGAAAGCTCTTAACTTAGTAGGTAACAGCAATATGTGGAGCCCAATCAAGCATATTAGGTATTTGTAACTGCTGACATTAAATAAAACAATCCCATCAATAGTGCAAATAAACAAATTAGCTGCATGAATAGGTGACCTGGCCCCTCTAATTTTCCCACAATAGAACACAGTGAGCTCGGACGGTGGTTTTGGTAATGTCATCAATTCCACCGGATTTAAGAATAAAAATCACGGCCCCTTGCAGTCCAAAGGTATAATACCAGTGGACAGTAATAAATTGAATAACCAAGAGAATTTCAGCATTGCGGTTAACTTAAGCATAGTAGAAGTTATTCCCTCCTGACCAGGAGATTTACTAGAGTTTATTTGTCAGTTTCAAACCCTAATCAAAGTACAATTTTCTTTGACAGGAAGAAGGCCAATGTGATCTTCACAATTATTAGCGTTGACTTTGAATGCAAAAATTGAGGTCTATTTGTTAGGGTTACCAGATACAATCTTTCTTCTTTTGCGAATTAATTTAACAAGATGAGAGGAAATACTAGATATCTGGATTTCGCTTAGCTGTTTTACTAGGAACAACTTTATGTATGA